CACATGTAGTAAACGTCTGATGTCCTATAGGAATCGAATCTGCGATCTCCCAATTCCTGGTACATGTTTACGCTCGCCACTCCCGGTTTCGGGTAAACCTTAATACAGTAATGAAAGCACAGATGTGTGTGTTCATTTATGAGTTCTAAACTTACAAAGAGCCGGAACACTGGTTGAATTGCTACTAGGTAGTCCGATTCCCGGGCTTTCGTCCATTTAACAGCCCACCAGATCCCTTGCATGCGCATACCTTCTCGAGTTCTTCTAACTTTTCATGGAATATATATATATATATATATATATATATATATATATATATATATATATATATATATATATATTCGTTTGAAAAAACGCTTTTTCGCTTTCAAGGACACCAAAAACGTGCATTTCCGTCAAAATCTCGACATTATTTTTTCTACAGCATTACATTCGTTTCTTTATAGGTACTTCGTGTATTCGTAGTACACAAGAAAGTAAAACGTTCTTCTAAGATCACCGTTGTCCTCTGCGCGCTGTGGAATAGCGCGCATTAGTGCTGCTTATTCACTGCGTTCCCAAGCGAGCCGTGGGAAGGCATTCGGAGAGCAATTGTAAAAACGTTGCTGGCTCTTCGCGCCCGGACGTCGGTGTTCCAGAAGACAGTGCATCCGGCAACACTCAGCGTTGAAGATGCAACTATGCACGCAACTGAAGGACAGTTCCAGAAGTTCTTTTGCTTAGAATTATAATTAGGTACGTTGTCATTGTGTGAAATTCCAACTCCACTCAGCGGGGCACTACATCAGCCGGGACACGCTGTCGCTCCCGACTGGTCTCTCGACATGTGCGGCAGTGCAATGCGTGTGTATGCATTATGTATGTATGTATGTGTGTGTATGTGTGTGTGTATGTGTGTAAGATGAGAGGAGGGGGAAAGTATGAGAAAGAGAAGTTTGCACTTGGCCCATGTATCGTATGTAAAACTACTCCAGCATTCGCCAGATATTGATACGAGAACACCGGTAAAAGTACCGCTCAGTGCAGCGAGCCACAAGAATTCGTCTCCAGACAGCAGTTGGATTCGATCTAAATCGTATCGGATTCGTTCGGTAAAATAGATTCGTTGGATTCGATCAGTAAAATAGATTTTTATACAAATTTCATTGCAGTACTTTCCAAACTTTTATCCTGTATACTACCATTAAGCAAGGGAATCAAATAAAGGCCCCGCATTTGGAGGATTCAATGAATCCTATGAATCCTAATGAATATGGAGGATTCAAACTATTATAAATAATTACGATTTTATGTCCTTTGACGGAATTAAATATACATACAGTCCATTTTTTAAAATAACAGATTTAATCCAGCTTAGCTCAAAATTATCCAAATTTGTATCTACATTCCTGGACGAAAACGAGTTATAGATTATTCCATTCTTTTAGAAAACCTAAACAAAGTCAGTAAACATTTTTTTGAATCCTTTGTCTTATGCGAAGATTCGTACATTGATTTTCTGGTCGAATCATCGTCATTAAAAGAAGATTCTCAATTTTAATCATGCTTTCAGTTTAGACAATAAATTAAACATAACTAAACTAAACTAGAAGTCAAAGAAAACAACAATAGATCAAATCAAATCAAAATCATTACTAATTATGAAATTGCCACGAAAGAGGTATAATGCAGTGGCCAAGATGCCAAATGTCTTACAAGTCTCTTAAATGATCATATTAAACAATAAACGTGCCTGTATTTTATTTATTGAGTGATGATAAGAATAAAGTTAGTTATGGATTAATTGATGCAGGAATCATGGGCGAGGTCTATTGATGTATACATCTTATACGTTTCGTTTTTTATGAAGCCATCATTAATTAACTAATTAATTAATTTATTTACTTAAGGACTTTCGAACCAATAATATCATTTAGCGACCACTGTAACATTGCGAGTAACGGTAACGGTATACGGACACACAAACATCCATGCCCCGGGCGGGATTCGACCCAGCGACTTTTCAGGTACGAGGCCGCTTAGGCTCTTCAGCTGTAGCGACCTCGGCTATCCAGGTCGGCTATTACTACGTTATTTCATGTTAAAAGAGAAATTGTCAGATTTCACGAAAAATGGATAACTTGGGAGATTAGAACATCATGGAAAACCAAACACACTAAGAAAATCATTTCATCATAACCATACATCAAAACGAATAATGTGATTTCCACTTTACATATTCGTACCTCGTACTTTTTGCGTTTGATGTTTCCAGGCACGTCAACTGCTATGAACACTGATCCCTTTAGTGTAGTGAATCACGGTAGTTATCAGTGTTCCTCCCGTGGGTGGATGGTGCAATCCGGCGCTAACCTACACTTGAATTGTGAGAATTGTCTTCTCCAGGTATCTCCCCTATGCAGAGCGTCGCATCCGGGACTAGTTCTAAGCTCCCGAGATGTGTGGAAGTGTAGTTCAAGTAAATGTAGGTGTATGTGAGGAGTAAGGCGGGAGAGCAGGGTAGGGATGAGGAAGAAAAGATCGCTCGCGAACTGTGGCCCGTTTGTCAGAGTACTGCTTCTGAATATACTTGATAAAATTTAACTCCAATTTAAGGAATGTCATAGTGCAGATAAATAAAAAAAATATGAGGATATTTTAAACGTAAATAACAAAAAATTAATAAATGGAATTTATAGAAAAAATATCAACTCGCAGTCCGTGAATCTGTGTTGTTTTAGAAGGATAACGATAGAGCGATCTGACCAGTGCCCAGTCTCTTTAACAACTACTTTCGAGAATTACGGTTGATCTCGCGAATGGTCTTAAGTCACAAATGCCAACTTCATCAGATTTTATTTAAAATCGAACTTCGTCCATTGAAATTCTCAGAATAAGCGGTAAAATAAAAAGTAAATATTAAGCAGGTTGAGATGAAATCCGGATTGTTTCTTATAGTTTTGTGTGCCTGTTATTATTCACAATTCATATATTAATGCTTTCTCATGCACAAGAATGTATAAAAAATTCAAAACAGCTTAAATTAAGTATAAAAAATGCAGAAATGATATTCAGAATTATCAGTCAATTACCATTTCGGCCACTTATGTCACTAATTTCTAAACATAAGAGACAAACGATATGCTTTTCTACAGACAAATGGCAACTTTTTTCAGAAAACCGTATAGTTTTTTAATTGCTAACATGGATTTCGAAAATCAGAATCTACGGAAACAGCAATATTATCTTCTTTCAAAGATGGCGGTTAATTACTGGTGTGGAAAGAATAACATATGCATATTTTTAGATCATTTGAAAGCAATGACGTCAATGATCATTACATTTAGAATTAGAAATTATATTCGTATGAAAATCACGACATTTCTCTTAAGTAGCTTTTACCTTAAACATCGATCTCAGATAGTAGAAACACATTTTACGAATATGTGGACATTATTTACACACGTATCTCTCACCAGCGGAGCACCGCCTCGGGCAGGACAAGCTCTAAGCTCCCGACTGGTCTCCCGGCATGTGTAGTAGTGTAGTGCATGTAAGTGTAAGTATGTTCAAGTAAAGAGTGAGGAAGGAAAGATTGCACGCGGTCCGTGACCCGATTCTTAGGATACTGCTCCATCATTCATCTGGTATCCATGAGAAAAAACACGGAAAACTACTGATCAGAGCAGCCGGCCACTCGAATTCTCCAGGGAGCGGCTGAATTCGACCTAGCTATGTAGCTAGCGTCGAAAATCCTGTCGAACCCTAGGACCTCCCGGTCATCGGCACTGCAGTGACATCAGTTACCTAAGTCGCTATGTGTCTCCGAAACACGCCTTCGAATATTCGTAAAATTTTGTATTGTCTTCTTTCGTTGGAGTAAGTATTTAGTATATTCAGGTGCGTCAGCTTCTTTAGCCATTTTTCGTGAATGCGTTGCAAGCAGTCAAGAGGTGGCGATGTTCCTCACTCTCCGGAACGTGAAATCCGGTGCCGACATACACGTCGGCTTTAGGAGTTCATCTCCAGGTATCTCCGACAGCAGTGCACCGACCCAGTCTGAAAAATTCTACGACATGCGTGATAGTATTGTGCATATACGTGTGTGTGTATAAAAGAAGAGGAGGAGACCGGAACGAGGGAGGGAAGATCGCGCGCTGTCTGAAGTCTGTTTGTTACGATTCTGTTACAGTGTTCTTTTGGCATTGCTTATAGATATCCCGAAAAACTACCGATCAGAGCAGAAATCTTCTCGAGGCAGAATGGTTGAATTCGAGTGTCAATAACTCTCTACCGTCGGAATCGCCTGGTCAGCGACGCTGCAGCGGCAATGGGTGCTATCAATGAAATCTTCCACGGATGTGACGAAATCTATGTACATTTTAAACCAACCTATTTAACAATAAAATGAAGCATGTTCATTATAGCGAATATATCCAATAATTAATTCACAAAAAGATTCGTAATGTTGTGCATTTGCCTCTCTACGGAATCGGTGCGGTGTATCCGAATACCAACCCAACGGTGTACTTGAACACCTGCGAAAAGTGAGAATAGCCATTTTTCAGGTGCCCAACCTGGGGTGTAAAACCGCTCTGGGTTTTCATGTGATGTGTAATTGTCTGACACACAGTCTTATACTGCAGCGAGAGCTCTCTTCTATGGAGAAAGGGCGATACCCTTTTCGACGACAAAATATAAGGACAACTTCTTGAAAGATAAGAAAACACCTTTTTCCGATAAAACAGGTTCTCTTGAACAATTTTTTTTAAAAAAACTGCTCTATCAGTACCTGAGAACCGATGCACCCAGACCTGTTTTACAAGCGATCTCTTGGCTCCAGTTCCTGTTCTCCACGAGCAACTGGATACGTCGCAAGTCATTCGAGTTCTCCCGATTAGGAGCGCACCATTACGACGAAAAAAAGCGCATGTTGCATTCAGTTCTGTGCAGGTGGAAGACCGTGTGCAACGAGGAGATTAGTCAGAAAGAACATGTTTAAAATTAAATAATTTTTAACTATGCTTCAAGACGACTATAGCGGTGTTGAAGAGCCGCGATTAGTAGGTAAATGATTCGATAATAAAGAACCGAAATAAAAAAAAATGAAAAATCAATATGCATTCAAACTTTGGGACTTGTAACGTGAAAACAAAGAGTGATGAATTTACATTAATGTTACATTACATATGCATTAGATAAGTAAACAATATTCTTATCGCATCGATTTAAAAAATACTAACGAAATAGACTAATTTAAGTTCATTCCAGTGTTTCTGCGCGTTATGTGATTGAGGCTCTCATCCAATGATTTACAAATGAACAGTTACCTTAAGCAAGAGCGAATTGAATTCTTTAGCAAACAACAGTTTCTATTTCTCTTCTCGTGGAGGATGAGCCCCCATTTCGCCTCTCGCGTTCCGCGTGCTATCGGCGCGATTAGCCCTTCCCAGCTCTAAAACGGAGAGGACTGCGAGTCGGACGCCGTGGAGCTCCAGTCGCCGCGAGCGCAGTCCGCGACCCGCCTGCAGCCCCTCGCGAGGCCGCCCCACCGCCACCGCCGCCGCTGCCTCTGCCAGGGTGAGTGCTCGCCCGGTCGCAGGAGGTGAGGATCTTCCGAGAAGCGACCTGTCGGCTTGCAAGAGGCGAAGTGCGGGGACGGGGCGGACGCAGGGGTGGCGGTGGCGGCCGCGAGGGCAGTGCTCCGGGCCGCGGCTGAGGGCCCCGCCTCCACATGCCTGCGCAGCCAGTCCGTGGATGAGACTGCGCAAACGCACTCGCTCGCTGTTGCCACCCGCATCTCACAAGTTCGCCTGCGAGGCTGGGCGAGACCCAGAGGCGGGCAATCGGTTCACACGACTCTCTCATTATCTATAAGCGGTCTTATATCTTCAGTCCTTCGGATCAAAACGGAGCTTTTACCACTGGAAATCATTTATGACGGACGTCTGAAATACTTTAATCTCCATTCCTCCTTTCATAATTGCCAGGCATGATATCAGTATTGAGGTTTACCCTGCACTGAAATTGAAGAACCGAATCGCATAATGTGTTTGAGTTCAGAGACAAGGGTATAAAATTGTTCAAATATTTCTATGCTTCAACGTTTCGAAATTATCGATTACCAGTCTCGACACATTTTACAAATTTCAAAAATTAGAAAAGATATTATTTATAAATTAACGTGCACAATGTTATTAGCTTCAATTGCATACATTCTTCACCAACATGTTCGTAATTAAATGACAAATTCCCAATCAGTCTTCTCGCAGATGCACCGTCACTTTATTTTTTTTATGAATTTGTATTTGCAGAACACACAATACTATAAATAGGCTAGGTTTCCTGTCGAACACTAATGCATGGCTGTAGAAGGAAACAGGGGCAATGTCGGTGCAGAAAGAGACCATCGTTTTTCTTACACTAATTCATAGTATTTAAAACTTTGCGTTTCCTCGTTGTGCATGTCACGAAATTTTAAGTTTTATTCTTTTGGAGTGTATATAATGCGTCCTCGTATGGTATGCCGAAGTTATACTAGCTTTCTTACAGATATCTATTTATTAAGAAACTGTCGTTCGTGAGCAAAATGACTCGAAAAGTTTTTACTCAATACAATATCCAGAAGACGCTAGACTGTTTACGAGCGTGAAAGGGTGGAACGAAACTCTATAGAACATCAGAAATGAGAGAGAAATGGAGATGTCCAAGGAGGAAACAACGAGACTACGGAAATAAACTCTTTAAAGAAAATAATATTTTGTCTAATGAACGTCTGGCGTATTTTGAATGATTGGTGTGAAATAATCTCTCAAGTTGGCTGAGAAAATATTTAAAAATTGTAAACATGTAGATCTGAAAAATATGGAGCACATTTTACTAAAATGTTAACGTTTTAATAATTGCAAGCGAAAAAATAATTTGCTAACAAAGTTAAAATAACAAATAGTTTTAAGTGATAAGCATTATTAAGTCTTTAATAATGATCTATAAGGATTCTTTAATTTATTGTTAATTTTTCGTATTTTTTTAAATCACAGAGTTTAAACAAAATGGGAGATACGCCATTTTTATGAGCGTACTTTGCTCTACTCGAAAACAAACTAAAAAGATTTGGAGCCGTTTTAGAAAAAATAATTTTGCTTATAATAAGCAATAAAAATTGCTTAGCGCAAAATTACGCTCATTTTTTCCAAAATTTTTTCCATGACCTTATTTAAAGATGTCTTTGAAAAACAAATCTTATTAATGAAAAAATGTCCATCTTCATTGTTGCAGGAAGGTATTGTATTTGTAGAAAGATACCGAAACAATGTAACGTTTTGCAATTTTCGAAACTTTTGAGTTCAACGGAAAAGATACATTTCGTTGTCAACCTATTTTTTGAGATTTACAATCCGTAAAACATGGAATTATAATTACACATCACGTTACAGGAAGTAATTTACTACATACGTATGCACAGATAGAAAAAAATATCCCCCTTTTCGACATCAGGACCCCACAATACGTTGAAAAATCGCCATTTATGGGGCAAGATTACAATCCCTTCTCGTTCGTGCATGACGAGGAAGTAATAATTCCACTTGCGCGCAGAGAAAAAAGTTACAAATATGGCGCGCTGTTTGATGCAAGAGTGTCTCGTCACGGCGTTCTGCGAAATACCAACCGTTTCACTTTCATACTCGACAAAATTTATCATGAGATTATGGAAAATGGAAGAATAAAGGACTATATGTTTGCAGGAAATCTGGTGTCTTATCCCCTATCTTTATGCAGTTTCCACTCTGTTGCAGTTACAATCGACTCTCGACTCCACAACACCGGAGAACGAAAGCGAAGAACGACAGAGAACTCCTGTTAATGAAGTCATTCTGAACTTCGGTCCCGAAAGACGCCGTTTCATTCACGAGTTCGCGATGTCGTTTTCCTTGTTCTCGCAATAGTGAATCAATTCCTTTATGAAGCGTACGATAAGGGATAAGTGTCAGGATATTTGACTCAGCACAATTTGAAAAGTAAAATTCATAGTCTCTTAGCTTACTCTTTGGACACCCTGGGTATCCCTTCAAGTTTAATTGATTGCTCTTTTAAGAGGCGTGCACCCAGAAGAACGATGAAGTCATGGGGGCTCGGCCGAAAGGCGCTGCGGGAGACGAAGCG